CGACGGGAGGACCCAAGTCGCAGCGATCTGCACAGCCGCGATGTAGCAGGGGACCTCTGTAGCTAACGGCCAGGATCCGTGGCTCAGCATAGCGACGGCCTGCCACGGGTAAGACAAACTCGTCTAGAAATCGGCCACGCTGAGGTTGACCACGAAGGCGTTGGTCACTGTGCGGAGTTTCTTGCACAGGACGACCGACCAGATCACGAGGCTGTTCCCAACGAGTCCAAGGACCGCGGCTACGATCCACACACAGGCCATGCCGATGCGAACATTGTAGGGGTACAGAGATGGGCTAAGGGTAGCCGGTTCCATGGTGGTGACGTTCGTGATCGAAGATGTGTTATTCATATTTGTCAAATATTTGAATTTGTCCGGTCTGATCAAATAGTCAGTGATGAGACCAGCTTTCTAGTTCATGTATGCCAGAGATACCCCGCAAAAGGCAATACGATTTTGTGCAATAATGTTGGCGCCCAATGTTTTGTAACACCTTTGCGACCAAAAACCGACCGAGGGCCGGTATGGTGTGAAATGCGGACTCTATGAAATTAGGACTGATTGGCTGTAATGCGCATGCCTAAGTGAAGATAATTAGGACAGTGACAGGTCATGTGTGAGGCTTAGAGCAATAATATTGGGTAGTTAATACATACTAGATTTCATAGGCGTCAAAATTTCACATGACACCAGTTCATACTTCATGGGTGTTTCAGAATAACTGTGAGAGGAAAATGAAAGGACAACAGAAAGTATTTTCGTGGAGATGTTTCTCAACATCCTGGGGACATGCTAATGTGGATGTTTACAGTATGTGAAGCCAAAGCGGAATTACTTCAAACATCCTTTCGTGCAAGACAATAAAAATCATGCAAGACTAATTTGTTTTCCAAACCAAATTCTTGCAAGAACGAAAAAATGTGTTTATATGCGGGGGGGGGGGGGCATGCCCCCACGAAAATGTTGAAATATACGATGATTTCTCCTATTCTATGGAATATCCTCTTGCACAGGAAGAGTCTATGATATGCGAGCAGATTCGGCGATAAATTATACAAAACAAGATTGCATCTTGAGCTGGAGATTCTGACCATTCAGCGGGCGCCTTCTGGCAGGTCTTCCGTAATCCGTTGTTGTATCACAAACCGTGAAGCCAAATTATCCATTCAATAGCTAATTCAACATTTCCAGCGGCGGTGGAACAGTTTTGAAAAGGGGGTTGGGCAAAGCACCTGCCGGTCGTCAAGCAGCCGGCTGTTGAAAATTCGAAATAGGGGGGGGGGGGGCTTTCTGGACCTTATTGGACGCTTGGGGTGCACACTAATCCAGTTTTTCTCAATTTTCTGTATACCGTGACAAACTCGTTGAGGTAAAGGGATGAGTACACTACAGCATCGATTTTAAAACGGTTATTTTCACTGTTTGTGTTCCTGTTCAATTATTTACAAAAGAATTATAGTTATTATTATTTTGAATGAATTCCGCTTTGACTTTCCGTGTCTAATAATTGAATCCCCAAAAAGTGAACAGAAACCCCCCAAAACAAACAAACAAACCAGCACTATAGTTTTGTTTCCATTTTACCAAGGGCAAAATTGCTTTCGACAATGGGCATTCTGCGGTTAGCTTATTTAATAATAATATTTACGTTTTCTGTTTCATATTTGCAACTTTTATTTGCAGAAAGTTGATTGTACTGTTGTAAGAGAAATATTTTCTGTGAGCCGGCCCCTTAACGTCGTCCTAGAATTACATGCATCACTTTTTCTTTTAAAAGAAACCTTTTTTTGTATCTTTCCATGGCGTAATGAAACTTTGACCATCAAGTTCCTATAGGCCTACTAATAAATCAAGTAAATGACGCGATGATAAAATATAGACTAACCGTATACAAACAACCAAAAAGAAAGAATAAAAACAGTTTATGATTGAGGCCAGCTACATATGGGCCACCAATACACAAGGAAATAATACGAATTTGACCAAATTTACAATTACTTCCTCGTTGTACCTGTTAAATTTACTTCGAATGAGCAAGAACTAAACTATTGAATTAGTTTTGTTTCTGTTTCCTGGTTACTTGAGACAAAAAAAATCAAGCTAATAAATTAACATGTGACTACTTGATATTAGAGTTTAAGTATTTGTCTCGATTGATGTGATGACCCAGAAACCAGGTCATAATTCGGCACACAGAATATACATAATTATGAATGGATATACGAAAGAATAGCTATACAGGGTGAGTAAAAAAAACCCACCGAAACCCAAATGTCGGGACCAGTGTTTTAGTGAAGTTTTGCATGTAGCACTTTCACCAATCTAGGATATGAAAGCCAAATTCATAAGCTTTCTTTTAGTATAATAATGATTCAAATCACTCATGTAATTTTCAAGTTGGTTACAGATTTTTAAACACAACCACCGTTTTAAAGTTCTGTCCACGGATCACAAAAAAAGGTAAGTGTTCTTTCAGCAAAACAAAAAACTAATCACATAGGGATGTGTCTGAGCCGAATAGTTTTCGTTTTGATGAAAGAACGCACACAAAAACAATAGTCCCGACATTGGGTTTCGTGTTATTTTTTACTCACGCTGTATACCTACAATAATAATTGTTACCGGGGAATCATCCGATCGTATAGTAATAAGGATTGTTCAATGATTTTTGAAATTCTCGAGGCTGGATGTGTAATCCGAAAATAATGAGCTTTGATATTGACACTTTACTTCTAATCCTGCAGTCATCGATGTCCGATTATACCATTGATTTTAAAACAAAAGCTGAAGTCTTTTTGGCGAAGTTGGGCTGAATCGGAGGGGAGATATGCCGTCCAGAGAAGTAGACCAGTTTTAAAGACGCTTTTTGGGTGCATAAAATTGCATAGAATAACTTTGCATTGGGAGCAATGTATCAATCCATTAGTTTTTAAAAACAATATTTTGATCAGTCCATCAGATGCCAATTTCGAACAAAATAGGTATTGGGTTGACGCCTATCATCAGACGGATATAACAAGCAATTTTATCGATGCACCGATAGTGTGACACCCTGAACATAATTATCTCTTCCTCCTTATTCGACCCACATCGCACATAGCAACAGCAAATAACTGCTCGTGCCGCCACTGAATCAGGACAACACTTACTGCTCAGCCATTCATTATGACAGCAGGGGTGCAAGTATGCTAAGCCCCAACTTAACTATGACAAGCTACAGCAGTTGGGACTGTGCCAACTAATGTCGGGGTGCCAACATTATTGTGCCAACTAATGTCGGGGTTCCAACATTAGTTGTGCCAACTATTGTCGGGGTGGCAACATTATTGTGCCCAACTAATGGCGGGGTTCCAACATTAGTTGTGCCAACTAATGGCGGGGTTCCAACTAATGTTGGGGTATTAGTCCCAACTAATGTCGGGACTGTCTAATGTTGGGACCTGTGCCATATAGTAAGCGTGTAACAATGTTACCTCCTAAAAAGTCTCTGTACTATGGTGACCCCGAAGGGACATAACCGGTCGCGAATATTATTTGCAACGTCGCGAAAATATTCATGACTACTAGTCATAAACGTATTAACGACTAGTCGTGAATTTGTTGTCGTAAATATTTTTTCCAGTAACTTGAAGTGTTCAACAGTGTGCATCATCAAGGGATAGCAGACATTTGCCCCGCCTGACGCGCAACATTCCTAGGTACGTTTGTGTATGAACTACACAAGAGCTGGCAACAATATGTCTTATTTCAATCTGAATTCCCCTCCATTGTTTTTGACAGGTACGATGGAACATGCAGCGATTAGGAATTTTGCCGCCGAAACTATGCAAAAACGCCCTCTATCCCTCGTTTGTCGGTTAAATACCTCCAAACTACTGGGGGAAAAAAATATTCGCGAAAAAAATTCACGACAAGTCGCAAAAAAAATCACGACGTCGCAAAAATATATACGACTAGTCGTGAATTAATTCACGACGTCGCAAACATATTCACAACGTCGCAAAAAATCACGACTATTCGTGAATAAATTCGCGACGATCGCAAAAATATTCACTACCGGTTATGTCCCTTCAGGGCCACCATACTGTACATATTGGCCTCTAGTATCCGGGTTCCGTTTAGCCTAATACTTTTCAGGGTCAAATCGACATTTTCCCGGTAAAAAGAACACTTCTCTTGATCTTTTTTAAATAACTTTGACTCGAGCCATTTTGGCACAGAAAAGTTCAAATATTTACCCTGAAAGTGTATTAGGCACAATAAAACCCGTGTTTCGGGTGACCTCTGACCAGGAATTTTCTTAGAGTGCAAGGTATCAATAAAAAAAAATGATAATATACAACAATATATTATATATATACACCAAAATTGCTCAAGTTCGTGTATTTTAACAGACGCATAAAGGAAAAATCAAAAGATCCTTTCAATCCTCGAGCATGTGCGTAGTCTATGGGAGAGTGTTATAATTATTACAGGGACAAAGGGAAACACTTAGCATTGCCCTTGGGCGTATATAAATTCACGACAGTGTGTTTGGGATTACCTTTTGTGCTACACTTGCATGGATTTGTTTTCTTTTTGGAGGGGGGGGGGGATCATCTAGAAGTAAGAATATTTCAACGGTAGTTTCTGGGCAATTGAAATATACTCTGGTTTCCTACCCGTCACAAAATGTGGCCCGTGAACATTTGGTTACATTAGTTTATCTACTGTTCTTGGCGTTTAAAAATCGATATGCAGATCTATACGTTACACACAGTTTAAACACAGGCTGCCCGGAAATTACATGGTTATTCGAGAGGCTAACATTTCCAGAAGTATGATGTCTTTAAAGGGTCATGCAATGTATTTTTTTTTCAATGCAATCCTTGAAAATGCACCTTTGTATCCCATGCAACCCTATTTTCAATTTTTGTTATGCCATTTTCAAGGCTATTTTGGTGCCTTTTTTTTTGTTTCAATGCTAATGTGAATTTCCATATTCATGAGCAAATGTGTGATGTCACTTCAGGCAGAAACCTCAATGTTACAGCTATTTCTGCACCAAAAGTCGTCAGAATTCGGGATATGTTGTTGTCGTACATATTCTTTGTTCGGTGATTTGTTGTGGTGTCAGTAGATGGCAGTACATAAAGTAAACCAATGAGCAACTGTTCTCACAAATGGTTTCAATGGGCAGATGTTTGGGTTAACAATTCGAACAGAAATCCTTAACTGAACAGTTAACTGAATGTTTAAAGGTTAATAAAATTAACCAAAAAGGGATGTCAAATAGTTTTCATACATTTATGAGTAGTAAAAAGCTGCACAAAATGCGTTCCTATAAACAATAATTCATCTCATGAACACTTTAAATTCATCGTAAAGTAATTATGCATATAATAAGACGCAACCAGCTTCCTCTGGTGCTAAAACATCACTGCCAATCAGTTGCAAAACTGAAACACCTTCCCTCCATAAAAAGTAACAAAAGGGTTCAACTCAAAAACATTCTGTGTATGAAAAACCTGTTTACTTCCGCCGAGACAAGATGGATTTCAGCCAGTCAGATGGTTCAGGTATCTGAGAGTAGCGACAGCGAAGGATCTTTCGAAGCACCAACTTGAACTGAGGATGCTTTGCCGTGTAGATAATGGGGTTTACACAGCTATTCAGCATACTGATGGTTGCCCCGTAGAGAGCAAACGCGCCACTGCTTGGTATAGCCAGAGAGATGAAATATGGAGACATCAACAAGAAGAAGATGAAAAACACCATGAAGAGATTCTTGGTGATAGCAAGCTGTTGACGGCTGATTTCTCGCCGGATGCCTTTAGTCATGTCGTTGGCAGGCACCGGTGATGACTCGCTCACGACGGTGAAACTGACGGTCGACTCTCCAACTGTTCCCCCATCAACATCCTGAGACGGGCTTCCCTGTTGGGCGCGTCTCCTCTTCTGCTTCCTGAAGTGACGTTTGAGATGGATGTAGAGGGCCGTGTAGGAACTGACGATGATAAGCATTGGGATTGGGTAGAGACCAAGAGATTGAGCCAGGTTGTACTCTTGGCCGCGGGGATGGCCATCCTTGTCTGAACACGTGTTGTCTTGAGGATCGTAACCAAAGTCGCCAATGCCAAGGATTGGCGGCAAGAAGAACACGATCGAAGGGATGACCCAAGTCGCAGCGATCATGACGGAGACTTTTCCCGGGGAGTACCAACGACTGTATGTTTCAGTTTTCTGGGTGACCAGCATGAAGCGATTAAAGGCTATCGCCGCCAATGAATAAAGGCTTCCACCAAGACCAGTGTAAAACTGCACAGCAGCTATGTAGCATGGGACCTCTGTAGCTAACGGCCAGGACCCGTGGCTCAGTATGGCGACGGCCTGCCACGGGTAAGACAGACTCGTCCAGAAATCGACCAGGCTGAGGTTGACCACGAAGGCGTTGGTCACCGTGCGGAGTTTCTTGGACAGGACGACCGACCAGATCACGAGGCTGTTCCCAACAAGTCCAAGGACCGCGGCTAAGATCCACACACAGGCCAAGCCGATGCGGGCTTGGTATGAGTACAGAGGTGGGCTTGCAGTTACCGGTATTACAGTGGTTGCGTTCATGATGGTAGACGTGTATGTATAATTGTATGCGCTATAGTACGGCCGATTGTTTTCTGTACACTGAATATCAGAGTGGGTGTTGCTGTCTTTTATGTAAAAAGATACGTCACACGCCTCATAGCGAGATCCGTGTATACCTTATAACGCGTGATCCGTGCATGCCTCAAAAGAAAATCCTTAATATACGGGGATTTCCCTACAGCGACGTATTTTTTAATTACACCATTTCCTGTAACTGCACTTGCCTGTACAAATATGAACACGGACATCAATGTTTACATTTACTTTTTGTCTGGTATAAATATCCTTCTGAAGTGTTTTTTCCACAAGATGAATATCACACTCACACAAGCTATTAAAGAGACATCTTTTGACTATTGTATTAACGAATCAAACTGTTTTAACTAAGTTTGTAAACATTACAACACTTGGTAAAGTATAGGTGTACAAATAATTTCAGATTATAATACACGGAAGGGATGTTCGGGACGTCATTTTCATTGAGTCACATTTTCTAGCCCAAGTTGAGTGATGGTTCGTGAGCGAAAACTAATCTACATAAAAATGTTTTGCAAAGGCATGATGGGCCAAGGTCCTGTCTGTCTTGCCAAGTTGCTGATCTGGATCCAGGAATTCTTTGTTTGTTTCCCTCGGATACTGATCTGGATCATGGATCATAGGGATCCCTCCCGAGAAGTGGATCAGTGTGAGATTCAAAATGGCGAACATTCCTTAAGGTTGCAGACCAGTAAATAAACTTCCATAGACCCCAATGGTAAATGCTCCCAATTCAGAAATTCGGGGAAAATATTTACAACTCTCCAAGGTGTTTGGGACACACATCAAATTAAAGCTTATTTCATCATCTTTCATTTTCTTTTCAATTTTCGGGGGGTCAACTGATGACTTTTAGGAGAAATTTCCATCCGAAGATGCACCCCTGAAAATAGTCCTAAAGCCCATCGCCATCTGAAAAACGATGCCTACACTCCATTGCAAAATAGAGCGCATTAAGGGCCCCAATTTCATCCAAATTGAACGGAACTACAAGCTCACCGTCCTGTGCACGGCTTTCACCCATATTTGTTTTACAAACCCTCAAGTTCATGACCCACAGCATGCTCAAATACTGAAGATTATGAGGGCATGCAAATCGTGATTTGGCCGGCGTAGGCAATTTCGGACCAATTTACTGGTCTGCAACCTTAAACGTCTAGTCACGGGACTTACATGCAAGATCGAGACATACGTGTAGACCTACGGTACGGTACTAGTTCACAGGATCCGAATAAGGAGGATCTGCACCGAATGCTACTCAGTATGCGGCGTCACAACATTACATCCTCTGCCTTCTCAAGTCAATTCTAGTTCAATTCTATATATTTGAGGCGATAAGACAATACATGCATGTTCTTGCACGCAGTTAACAGCATATACATAAAGTGATACAGTGTCACTGTCAATGTTCCAAGAAGCGCCCATCCCCCAAGTGGGAAGATGATAGTAACAGATATTGATTAAGAGGTATACGTTTCAATAACTCCTCGAAGACCGGGCTTGCAAACCGTGAAGGAAGGAAGATGTGGCATGAATAAGCATGGTTGCTAACATCCTTTTGTTCCTTCATCATAATGTTCCACGTTCTTAATTGAAAAATCTTAAGCTCCTGAATGTTTGTATGTACATTAAAAGTGTCCTTATTTCATTAATATCTCATCGAAAAAAATAGAAATGGTCTTACGTTGAACAACGTTTTCCATCTCAAAAAGAACTATTTCCAACAACCACCCGATCTCCTTCTTCATTTTTTTGCCGTTCGGTACACAAAAAGGTGTTTATAAATATGGCCAAGTGCGTTCAAAGTCCGTGTAAAATAGATTCGCAACTATGATGCCAAAGTGTACATCTCATTTCAAAGTGAAATTTTGTACGTGCTTAAATACATCTATAGCATTTGGGTTTAAATTGCCATGTACTGACGAGTGTGTGTCTTAGAAATCACATCCACGTAATGTTATATTGGCACCAACTTAGAGTTTTTATCAAGTGGCTGTACGTGGTTGTAGGAAAGAAAAGACCTGCAATCGAGATGAGCTCAAAAAAGCTTTACCTATTCGGTTGTGTTACTTCCTAAATTCCAAAGAGTGAAAATTCACTCCATTCGGGTGAAGATTCACTCCCACTAGGGACTAGACGTTTTAGAGTGAAATTCCTTCAATCCTAAAGAGCGAGTTTTTACTCGAGCTTCAATTGAAGTGGTTCTTTTTTCAGACTCTTTCAATCTTAAATGAGAGTGATTTTCTCCCTAAACCGTCTAGTCCCTAATTTCACTCTTTGGAATTTAAAGAGTACCTCGCAACATAATTGGCGATACCTCGAGCTCACTTCCTCCGGGACATCACAGTTTTCAGCCAGTCGGATGGTTGAGGTATCTTAGAGTAGCGGCATCGAAGGATGCTCCGGAGCACTCCCTTAAAATGAGGGTGGTTAATCGTATAGATGATGGGGTTAACGCAGCTATTTACGATACTGATGGTTAGTCCGTAGAGAGCAAAATTACGACCGCTTGGTACGGCCAGAGAGATGAAATAAGGGGACATCAACAGCAAGAAGATGCAGAAGATGCAGTAAAAACGTCATATACACGCGCGCACCACTGATTACTAGCGCCCATCAAGGGCGGATCCAGAACACATGGTGTTTTTTTTTGGGGGGGGGAAGCCAAACAAAAATGTTGGTCCCCTGTTTATGCGATTTGGGATTAAAAATAATGAACGACTTGTGTCAGTATGTCTAAGCCCAGTCGTTTCCCTTAATTTTTAGAAATAGATCTACTAAATCTTTTACAAAAACATTTTGCTCTTTGGTTTTGTAATGTAGGCGGATGTGAATTATGGGATTTCTTTCCATAGCTCCTGTATGTTAGTCATGTATGTGCCCTCTGTTTTAATACACAAAAGACGCACGCTGACAGAAGTGAATCGATAGCTCTCCCGCAAAAGGCTGCATAATGAGCAGTTTAATAAAGTTGAACAATTAACACCAATTGAATTGACAATAGAATGCAGGTGAGTAATCACTTCTGATTACAGGTTGTGTTGCACAGTGCATTGTAACGTGTAACCATGCAGGGGAGTTGTACTGATTCGCGTTTGGGGTATATTAAGCTAAGGTACCGTTGGTATTTTAGGAAGGAACACTAAACCCTTTATAGATAGTGTCGGACAGCGCGTGTTAAAAAACTAAAAATCGCACACGCAGGATTCGAACCTCCGATTCTCCACTCGTGGGTGAGCAATTTAACCACTAGGCTATTTCACTAGTTACAGTTACGTTTGAGTTTAAAGCTAAAAACCATTCATTGTATTCTTAAGATCGGGTCGTAGATAGTTTCAATTGCTGACGGGTTATTTTGTCCTTTCCGTTGTAGAGCGAAGGTATAGCTCAATTATAGTTGCGTAACGTATTTTTGTGTGTTATTTAGACGGCGCCCATTTCCTCTTCGCTCTCGATCTTAAGCAAACTCCCCCCTTCTATGCGGACATCAGTCGAGTGCTATGTTCCAATCTCAGCTTAATAAGCTTCAGGTGCAACAGGCCCGGATGAAGTGTTTCGTAGGCCCTATAGGCACCAGTGTTCCGTAGGCCCTATACTGTGCACTAGGTGCCAGCACCAAATTCGTTTTGATGCTATCGAATTTGAGTATTAAAAACGGTGAATTCGAATGATAAACGTTTTAAAATAGCCAGGTAAATCTATATCAAAGTACAAAGCACTGTACAAATCTATACAATCCCGGCCAAAACTCGCTGGGCCCCCAACCCCTGCCCCAGCCAGTGTTGTCTCTCATTGCGAGGTCTGTGCTCAAGCGCGAGATGACAACATTGACCGGGGGAGCGGGGGGGGGGGGGGGGGCGGGGGAGGGCATGTGTGGACGTGTCCCAACCATTTTGGCCGGGATTGTAGGTACGAAAATTCGGATGGAAAAGGTCAAAATTCGTTTTTACTCAGCCACAACTGATTAATTCTTGTCATTTTTTCCTTTTCCTATTAATGTTTCTCGGGGGTGATTACGGTTAGAAATCATTTTGTCAAACATTATAGCAAGAGAAACGGCAACCCGTGTAAAATGCGCATTGAAGGGTCAAGCACGGGCGGGGGGCAAAGGGGGCCATGCCCCCCCCCCCAAAAAAAAGAAACCAATTTTTTTTTATGTGACGTCGCAATAAAGGCAGGCAATGAGTACACCACCATCTTTTCCTCAAAAACCATTGGCTAAAGTGGTCAGAAATTGCCTCAGATCGCACCACAGAGCATCGAGAATCCCAAAAAAATTCGGGGCCCTTAAGTGGGCCCCGAACCCCACGCCGTAATTTTTTTACCCACTTTTTGGGAAACACAATTTTTTGCCCCCCCCCCCCGGAAAAATTGTGTTCTGGATCCGCCCTTGGGGTCAGGGAGGGGTACGGAAGCTCAAAGACAAAATGGCGTACTTTCATGCTCTGTTGACTCACTGACTGACTCCCCGTCATTGACTGACTGACTTGCATTTGTGAATTAAACCACTACCTATTTTCACCCCGTTATCAGTATAGCTTATTCTACTAATTTTTTTTATTAGCCATTCAAGAACAATCGAATATAATTTTGTGCAGTTTGGGATTATATTTTTACCAGCTTCAATCCCGGCCAAAATGGTTGGGACACTAGCCTCCAACGGTCACCCACTCCCCCGGTCAAAGTTGTTCTCTCCAGCTGATGGGGCACACACCGCGAAATGAGAGACAACATTGAGCGGGGGCCGGGGGAGGGGGGAGGTGCATATGTTCCCCAATACCTATGTTCCCATTGCAATACCGATGTTCCCCGAAATCCTTACCCTAAGCACTAACCCTAACCCTATAACCCCAACCCTAATCCTAAGGATTTCGGGAAAATAGATATTGGGGACCATCGGGTAGACCCCGCCGGGGGGTTGGGGGCCCAGCGAGATTTGACCAGGATTGTAGGCTTGCCGTTTACATGTAAATAGTCTCATTTACAGGTGATTGTGCACATTTTCATTTAACTCATTTGGTGTTCATACCAAAGACGTTAAGACTTACAATTATTTTGGTTTGCCAGAGCCATGTCACGTTAACGTGGGCTTAGCCTGAGACAATTTTTTACCATACTAATTTTACGTTTCATATCTTAAGTGCTGACAAAAATACGTACGGTAAAAGACATCTTCGTTGCATTGCAACTATCTCCGTTGCACTGCAACACAGATTGACCTTTTCTCAATGAACAAGTTTAACTTCTACCGACGAAGCCAACAGCTGGTCAAAATAAAAGGGCTCATAATATACCCACGTTTCATCCTCCGTTGTTACTACTTTCTCTGACGAGACAAGACAGATTTTAGCCAGTCAGATGGTTCGGGTATCTGCGAGTAGCGGCAGCGAAGGATCTGTCGAAGCACCAACTTGAACTGAGGATGCTTTGCCGTGTAGATGATGGGGTTTACACAGCTATTCAATATAGAGATGGTTGCCCCATAGAGAGCAAACTTACGACTGCTTGGTACAGCCAGAGAGATGAAATAAGGGGACATCAACAAGAAGAAGATGAAGAACACCACGAAGAGATTCTTGGTAATAGCAAGTTGCTGACGGCTGATTGCTCGCCGGTTGCTT